ATGCAAAAAATGCAATGCCGAAAAGTCTATCCGTGTCTGACGCACGTCTGGGAACAAGAGTAGCTTAAAGCAGAGATATTTATCTTGAATGAAATCTGTTCCTTAACAACAGGTTTTAAAATAAGGACTTTTCAATTTTCAAAATTCCAATTATTTTCGCGTAATTTGTCGTGAAAATACAGGGGAGAAAGTTACGAGCTTTTAGGAACAACTAGTTTTTAATGAGCGCGTGTTCTTCAATAAAGAAGAAATATGCTCTATCCAAATGAAGATAGAATATGTTAACACAATAACTACAGATATCATACAGACATGTTTTTACCAACATGTTTTACATATTTATGATACAATTAAAAGTTCATAACGTTTAATATTGTTTTTATATTGATTGGGTATGTGTGGATTTCTATTTTCTAAACTCTATCTGTGAGTAATAGATTTTAATCCTAATGGCGCTACAAGTGTGATGGTAGAGGGTATTACTTATAGGTTTTTATGATGCGATGAATGGCTAGTGCAATTGGAGAATTAAATTCACTCATTAAAAGGAAGGAGAAGCGTTTAGTAAAAAAGCGAAAATTGGAGAAAGTTTTATAAGGACACGGCAATTTGAGTTTGTAATTATAACACGTACCCATGATTAAGCAAAGTTCCACAGCAATTTTTGAGCGGATTACATTTGATTAGTACACTTGTGGTAGTAACGTTCTGAACAGTCGAAAAATGAATATCAGCAGTGCCAGTTCTAACGTTCGTTAGACGCTTTGGGAAGTGGAAGTTTTCGCGTGTGGGATGAGGTTAGATCGTTCGTGATGAGAGCAGAAGACTGTCCGGGTGGGACGTTAGGGACATTGAAGCGAACAGTCCGCCGGCGAGCGCAGATTTGAACTCTCCTGTGGAGCTTCCCTTCGTTATGTATTCTTAGGAATCGATGTTAGTTCCTAGCCACCACTCTACGGGCGGTTTGTAACTTTCCGTTCTCGTTCGATTTCCTCGTTATCATCTCGGACATCCGAGAATCACGAGCAAGGCAACTCCGCGACGCTCCACTTTTGTTAGTTAACTCGCACCTCACCATCCATGAAGGCTGTCGTCTTTTTTCAGCAATTCGTCGCCCTCTTCTGTAAGATCCGTCCCGCTTCGCACCACACCCCGTTCTCGCCTTAGCTCTTCCCCCACTCCAAATATACCTTCCACTAACCACTTCCACCTGCCGCTCTGCACCCTCATCCCCACTTTTATTCCCATTTCACTCCCGATCCTGCGCGGGCCCAGGTTTTGCCGCACTTGTTTGTCTTCCCATTCCCAACTCTGCCCTAGTACCCCCTTCCCCGACGTCATTACTGGCATAGATTTTAGCTAAGTGCGCACGTGTTGCCGCTGTCTTTTGTAGCGTCGCTTGATTCGGAGGTCGCAAAGTTTCAGTCCGAAGTGGGGGATTATTAACTGTAATCTTGGTAGATTAGAATCACGTAGCAAGAGACCAGCTTCTCTGATCGGTAGTTTTCCAATAGTTTCTCCGATCAATATCAGGGGAAAGCCAAGCTTTTATACTAATAAAAGACCAAGAACTCCCATAAGTTCTTCCCATCCCTCGTTCTCTTCTCTGGCCCTTTACACAGACACACTCAACAAGCACTAAACTGCAGGCCGGCTGGGGTAGTGCCGTGCTGGAGACTACTTGAGAAAGGAAATTCCACCAAGGCAACGTGTTGGTCAGCACCAGATCTAATCATCCAGCGGAACAGGAAAATCGCCGCCATATACGGAGATAAAACATTCACCACTCTACCGGGAGTAATAATCATTGCAGTTGACGCACCTGGAAACATTAATTATTCCCTGACGCCAGCTCCCCTCTCAGGACCAGCTCGCTTCCATGCTTCCTGCTTCGACCATGATTCCAACTCTGCTCCCATACCTTGATCGGCACCATCTGTTTTCCGCGTCTGCTAATCTCCCTCGCTTTCGCATCCCATTCGCACCCCTGCACCTGCACCGACCTCGCACCCGCGGTGGTCCAACTCCCGCCACAGCCACCGCCCCGGGCCTGCCGCTGCCACCGCCACCTGCTCCGGGCGTTTGCCGGGCCCCGCACCGAAGCTCCCTCGCAAAAAATTCGAATTAATTAATCGGGCCGGCGTTGTAATTGCGGTAGCGGTGGCGGCGGCGGCCAACCCCTGGGGAACGTGTTTGGCCGGGGAGGCCGCCGCTGGCCGCTCCCGCAGACACACCTGCAACGCCGCTGCAAGGGCTCTGCGCACGGAGGGGCCGCCGCTCGGTGCTGGAAGGTGGGTGAGCCCGCGCTGGGTTTGAACGACGGCAGTGGGAAAGGAAAAGGCACGTGGCAGAAAAGGACGAGGGAGAAAAGGACGAGGAGAAAGGTACGAAGGCAGAAAGGACGAGGCAGAAAGGACGAGACAGAAAAGGATGAGGCAGAAAACGAGACGAGACAGAAAGGACGAGGCAGAACGACGAGCAGACGGACGAGGCAGAACGGACGAGGGCGAGCAGAACGGACGAGGCAGAACGGACGACGGCAGAACGGCCGAGGCAGAACGACGAGGCAGAACGACGAGGCAGAACTGACGAGCAGAACGGCGAGGCAGACGACGAGCAGAACGGACGAGCAGAGAGGAGCGAGGCAAGAACGGACGAGACAAAAAGGATGAAGCAGAAAAGGACTGAGGCAGTTGTAAAACGATTGAAATGAGGCAGTGTGAAGCTTCGTAAAAATGATTGATTGTAACTTCATTCGATTTTATTCAATTTTTCAATTACACGGATTCTGTTTTGCCATTCATTGTGATGTTTGCAATAAATGTTCAAGCGTGAAAATGAACGCGTTTACTTTCTCGACTTGTTTTCGTAAGAAAGATAAATATTTTATTCGGTGAGCCGGAAGTCGAGAGAATTTCCGACAGAAAAACTTATTGGCCGGCTCTGGTAATTGAAAAGGGATAAAATATTCCTATATTACAGAAAACCACTTCCTTCGATAGAAACCCACGTTTTGCGGGTTTTGTGATACCAAAAAATTTGGTAGTGGAAACATTTCTGAGTGTGTGCTTCCGTCCGTCGTTTTTCTTACTGTTAGGCAAAGCGCACAAACAAAAAACGCAATTCTCATTAAGTTTTCAATAACGGTATTACTTTTAATTTCTATCAACACAATTTGAACGGTTTAAGTCGTTTTTTACTAGTTAAGGAATATCTACTTTAATTGTTTTGATTGAAAATTTTTATGTTGTCGATTCAGTTAAATATAATAATATTAAATTAACAAAGAGGCTTTATATGTTATCCCTTAGTTATTGCGAAACAGTGTATGCATTATCCTAGGAATTAACGCACGCACCTATATTCAAATATTTTTTATGAAATGGACACATTTTTGTTGCCGCGAGTTTCGACTACTAAATACAGTGTAGGCCGACTTCGAAAAAATAGCTGAACCCGTTCTTTCGTGAAATAGCGGGTTCAAATTACCCGCGAGCCCTGCTAGTTTCACAACGCTTTAAATTATTTCTTTTAGAATTTAAATTTTGCTTCAATGAATATAGCTTCAAACGACCAGTCCCTGGATTGTGGTTTGCATACAAGCAGTATTTTGAGGGGTAAACATTCTAATGGTGCAAGTGTTGGGATTTAACATTTTACAGAAAAGCAATCACATTAAATTTCACTGTGGTTTATTAATATCTTTCTTTATTCTTATTTAAAACTTAACATGTTCGAGCTGCATCTTGTACCTTAATATCCGCATCTGTTGGTTAGGTATAAGTAGTAAACATATGATTAAAATTTATTTGTTTTCAATATTTATTAACAGCTCCCACCCATCTTCTCCAATCTTCTGTTTCAGTCCGCTCCACCCCGCGATCCGCCCGCCCACTCCCCGCCACTCCCCGCCCACTCCCGCCCACTCCCCGCCGCACTCCCCGCCCCACTCCCCGCCCTCCCCACTCCAATCCCGGCCCTCTCCCCACCAATTCCGCAACTCCTGCCCTATACGCCTGGGAGTCGGCGGGGTGGGAGCGGAACTGAAACAGAGATTGGAGAAGAGGGGTGGAGCTGTTAATAAATATTGAAAACAAATCAATTTTAATCATATTTTACTACTATACCTAACTAAAGATGGGATATTAAGGTACAAGATGCAGCTCGAACTATGTTAAGTTTAAATAAAGAAATGAAGAAAGATATAATAAACCACAGTGAAATTAATGTGATTGCTTTTCTGTAAAATTTAATACCAACACTTGGCACCATTAGAATGTTTACCCCTACAAAATACTTGCTGTATGCAACGCACAATCCAGGGACTGGTCGTTTGAAGCTAGTATTCAGTTTGAAGCAAAATTTAAATTCTAAAAGAATAATTTAAAGCGTGTGGAACTAGCAGGGCTCCGGGTAGTTTGAACCCGGCTATTTCACAAAGAACGGGTTCAGCTATTTTTTCGAAGTCGGCCTAAACTGTTTTAGTAGTCGAAACTCGGCAACAAAATGTGTCCATTCATAAAAAATATTGAATATAGGTGCGTGCGTTATTCCTAGGAATAATGCATACATCTGTTTCACAATAACTAAGGATTAACATATAAAGCTCTTTGTAATTTAATATTTATTATATTTTAACTGAAATCGACAACATAAAATTTCAATCAAACAATTAAAGTAGATATTCCTTAACAGTAAAAAACGACTTTAAACCGTTCAAATTGTTGTGATAGAAATTAAAAGTAATACGTTATAAAACTTAATGAGACTTGCGGGTTTTTGTTTGTGCGCTTTGCTCTAACAGTAGAAAAACGACGGACGGAAGCACACACTCAGAAATGTTTCCACCTACCAATTTTTTGGTATCAAAAACCCGCAAAACGTGGGTTTCTATCGAAGGAAGTGGTTTTCTGTATATAGGAATATTTATTCCCTTTTTCAATACCAGAGCCCGGCAATAAGTTTTTCTGTCGGAAATTCCTCGACTTCCGGCTCACGAATAAAATACTTTCTCTTCTTACGAAACAAGTCGAGAAAGTACACGCGTTCATTTTCACCTTTGAACATTTATTTGCAAACATCACCAATGAATGGCAAAACAGAATCCGTGTAATTGAAAATTGAATAAAAATCGAATGAAGTTAAATCAATCATTTTACGAAGCTCACACTGCCTCATTTCAATCGTTGTACACTGCCTCATCCTTTTCTGCTTCATCCTTTTCTGTCTCGTCCTTTCTGCTTCATCCTTTTCTGCCTCGTCCTTTTCTGCTTCATCCTTTTCTGTCTCGTCCTTTCTGTCCCATCCTTTCTGTCCCGTCCTTTCTACCTCGTCCTTTTCTGCTTCATCCTTTTCTGCCTCGTCCGTTCTGCCTCGTCCGTTCTGCCTCGTCCGTTCTGCCTCGTCCGTTCCTGCTCGTCGTTCTGCTCGTCCTTTCTGTCTCGTCTCGTTTTCTGCCTCATCCTTTTCCTGTCTCGTCCTTTCTGCCCGTCCTTTCGCCTTCGTACCTTTCCCCTCGTCCTTTTCTCCCTCGTCCTTTTCTGCACGTGCTTTCCTTTCCCACTCCGTCGTTCAAACCCAGCGCGGGCTCACCCACCTTCAGACCGAGCGGCGGCCCCTCGTGCGCAAGAGCCTTGCAGCGGGCGTTGCAGGTGTGTCCTGCGGGAGCGGCCAGCGGCGGCTCCCCCGGCCACCACGTTCCCCAGGGTTGGGCCGCCGCCGCCACGCTACCGCAAATTACAAACGCCGGCCGATTAATTAATTCGAATTTTTTTGCGAGGGGAGCTTCGGTGCGGGGCCCGGCAAAACGCCGGGAGCAGCGTGGCGGTGGCATGCGGCAGGCCCGGGCGGTGGCTGTGGCGGGAGTTGGGACCACGCGGGTGCGAGGTGGTGCAGGTGCAGGGGTGCGAATGGGATGCGAAAGCGAGCGGAGATTAGCAGACGCGAAAACAGAGTGGGTGCCGATTCAAGGTATGGGAGCAGAGTTGGAATCAACTGCGTCGAAGCAGGAAAGCATGGAAGCGAGCATGGTCTGAGAGCGGGAGCTGGGTCAGGGAATAATTAATTTTCCAGGTGCGTCCAACTGGCAATGATTATTACTCCCGGTAGAGTGTGAATGTTTTATCTCGGTATATGGCGGCGATTTCCTGTATCCGCTGGATGTAGATCTGTGCTGACCAACACGTTGCCTTGTTGGAATTTCCTTTCTCAAGTATGTCTCAGCACGGCACTACCCCAGCCGGCCTGGCAGTTTAGTGCTTGGTTGAGTGTTCCTGTGTAAAGGGCCAGAGAAGAGAACGAGGGATGGGAAGAACTTATGGGAGTTCTTGTCCTTTTATTAGTATAAAAGCTTCGCTTTCCCCTGATAATGATTCGGAGAAACTATGGAAAACTACCGATCAGAGTAAGCTGGTCTCTTGTACGTGATTCTATCTAACCAAGATTACAGTTAATAATCCCCCACTTGGACTGAAACTTCTCGCACCTCCGAATCAGCGACGCTACAAAGACAGCGGCCAACACGTGGCACTTAGTAAAATTATGCCAGTTAATGACGTCGGGGAAGGGGGGTACATAGGGCAGAGTTGGGAATGGGAAGAACAAACAAGTGGCGGCACAACCTTGGGCCCGCGCAGGGGATCGGAGTGGAAATGGGAATAAAAGTGGGATGAGGGTGCAGAGCGGCAAGGTGGAAGTGGTAGTGGAAGGTATATTTGGAGTGGGGGAGAGCGTAAGGCGAGAACGGGGTGTGGGGCGAAGCGGGACGGATCTTACAGAAGAGGGCGACGAATGGCTGACAAAAAAGACGACCAGCCTTCATGGATGGTCGAGTCGAGTTACTAACAAAAGTGGAGCGTCGCCGGAGTTGCCTTGCTCGTGATTCTCGGATGTCCGAGATGATAACGAGGAATCGAACGAGAACGGAAAGTTACAAACCGCCCTAGAGTGGTGCTAGGAACTAACATCGATTCTAGAATACATAACGAGAGGGAAGCTCCACAGGGAGAGTTCAAATCTGCGCTCGCCGCGGAACTGTTCGCTTCAATGTCCCCTACGTCCCATCCCGGACAGTCTTCTGCTCTCAATCACGAACGATCTAACCTCATCCCACAACTGCGAAACTATCCACTTCCAAAGCGGTCTAACGAACGTTAGAATGGCACTGTGATATTCATTTTCACTGTTCAGAACGTTACTACCACAAGTGTACTAATTCCAAATGTAATCCGCTCAAAAATTGCTGTGGAACTTGCTTAATCATGGGTACGTGTTATAATTACAAACTCAAATGCCGTGTCTTATAAAACTTTCTCCCAATTTTCGCTTTTTTACTAACCCTTCTCCTTCCTTTTAATGAGTGAATTTAATTCGTCCAATTGCACTAGCCATTCATCGCATATAAAAACCTATAAAGTAATACCCTCTACCATCACACTTGTACGCCATTAGGATTAAAACTATTACCTTCACGAGATAGAGTTTAGAAAATAGAAATCCACACATACCCAATTCAATATAAAAACATATTAAACGTATGGACTTAATTGTATCATAAATATGGTAAAAATGTTGGTAAAACATTGTCTGGTATGATATCTGTAGTATTGATTGTAACATATTCTATCTCATTTGGACTAGAGCATATTTCTTTCTTTTATTGAGAACACGCGCTCATTAAAACTAGTTGTTCCTAAAAGCTCGTACTTTCTCCCCTGTATTTTCACACAAATTACGCGAAACATAATTGGAATTTTGAAAAGTTGAAAAGTCCTTATTTAAAACCTGTGTTAAGGAACAGATTTCATCAAGATAAAATATCTCTCTTTAAGCCTAGCTCTTGTTCCAGACGATTCAGACACGGATAGACTTTTGCGGCCATTGCATTTTTTTGGCAT